CCAGCAACTGGGCAGAGAACCCTTTGCTAAAATCTTTGAAGCCCACCCCTGGTTTTATACTATATACAATTGTGTCTATTTAGGGCTAAATCTAAATTCCTTGGAATTAGCTCACTAAACTCTATGAATTGAAATGTCTTAGTTACCCCATCTTTTTACATACACACAAGTTAAGTGCATCAAATGATGATATGTACTGTGTTGTATTCACACCACAATAATCCATTGTTAACCAAACTATAATTCATTGCATTAATTTTCTGAGTTATATGATACATTGAATTATAAAATAATCCACTCAGTACCAACTTCCATCTTTAACTGCTTCTTCATTAGGGCATGTCATATCTTAGTTTTTTTTCTCTGCCTGCCCCTCTTGTCTGATTGCTTCCTTGGCAATATCTCTTCTCCCTTTTCATCAAGGTCACCTATGCATTCCATAAAAACTTTGAGGCTTCTTGGCAAAATGCTTTCCAGTAGGATTCCTCCTTTGAAGGTAAGTCTCCCAGATCTCCCAGAGCACTTTATGTTCATCTCAGAGTTGAGGATGATTTTCCACAATTGGAAGAATCAGAATGCTCCTGTGTTGAAACATTGTGGAAATTAAAATGTCTATCCTACATGAAGCACATATGCATCAAAAAGGGAAAGAGTACTGTTTCTGGGCCCAGAAGAGCATCAATATTGAGGCAGTTGCCTAAAGATTTCATGTCCTGATGCTAATCAAGCAATCAGCAACATATTTACAAGGAAAAAAAGAGGCTAATGCTGCATATCAATCATTTGTTAAAGGCATAGAAAGCCTTTGTAAATACAAAGAATGTTGGAAGGCTCTTTTCCTTTTGTTTGTATAGCTGTCCTGTTATATATAATCATATTTGCACAGACAGGGAAGTGGAATGGTTATTTTTTGGTGTGTGAGGTGTACATTGCTTCCCATGGGGAAATAATAATAGATGGAAATGCATTATTCTAAGCAGGCACAGGGAATATTCAAAAGAAGACAAGCCTTGTCAATCATTTCAGGGGAATAAAGTAGTCTGGAGCTACATTATATAAGTTGTCCAACATTTTTTCAAGGACTGAAAAATAATTGCTTAATTCAATACATCTCCCACACACAAGTGGTGCAGATCAAGGAAGGGAAAAAGTATATTTATTACTTGCAATGACCTTCAAATTAGAATTGTGGGTTGTGTGCTTTATGGTGCAACACACAGCAATGCAGGTGTAGGCTGCACTTTTTCAATTATAAGGATGAGAAAGAATATCTGCAGAATTGTGATCCTATCAGCTCAGGTAAAAGTTGAAAATTCTTAAAAGTGAATTGGTCCCAAATGCTTAAGGAAAGATCTAGAACTAATGGTGCAGTGGTTAGAATGCAGTACTGCAGGGCTAATTCACTGCTCGTTCCAGGAGTTTGATTCTGAGCAGCTCAAGGTTGACTCAAGCCTTCTATACTTCCACGGTTGGTAAAATGAGGATCCAGATTGTTGGGAACAATATGCTGACTTTGTAAACTGCTTAGAGAAGGCTGTAAAGCACTGTGAAGAGGTATATAAGTTAAAGTGTCATTGCTAAGTGATCCTGACTCAGTTCCCTCCTTCCATGGCATCTGGCCATTCAATTAAAAAGTTGGCTTGCAAATAGCAAAAATGTGCGCTATGGATAATTTAGACCTTTTCTATCTGGTTAAAAGCAACAGATATTTTATATACTACCTCAAAGTAATGAAGTATGAAAGAACAAACCAAACTAGACTTAAACCCTATCTATTTGTTTTTCTAAGATCTTTAGTCTCTATCCATCATTTCTCACCAATCTTAATATCAGTGAATGGCAGGAAGGTGATGAGCTCCTCTTCATTACTTTGAATAGCAGCACTTAAGAGGAACAAACCTGCTTTGATCCGTTGCCTTGTTTGATCAAAAGTGATTGTTGCAGTCTTTTCATATGAAGTAGCAAGTTTGACCAAGTTTGACAAGTTTCACTGGATGTAAGCAAGTTGTTGTGGTACTACAAATGAGGCTTTCAGTATCTTTTCAAGGCTTCATATGAGCCTAAAAGCAAGTCTTGAAGGGTTTGGGTAGCTTTTGTGTCATCTACTGAGCAATCCTAGTTTATGCATCCTTAATAACAAGCTAAACTCTTCCATTTACTACTCAGAATGTGGAAACTTAAACCTGCCTGTTGTTGAAAGCTAAAAAAAGGCTGAATTTGAATTTATTAGCCATCTTATTCTGGAGTCAAATGCTGGTTCCTGGGCAGTAGATGAGCTTCTGAAGACCAAGGGAAGAACTCTTTCTTTGCGTTAACATCTATTTCAGTCCCTTATATGGATTTTCCCATTCCCTCTGGCCACATAAAGTCCTTCTTTCAGCCATCCCTGAATAAATAACCCAACCCTCAATTTTCTGCCCCAAGAGATCCCTTTTATCTGTATTGCCAACCACAGAAATTGTTAAGCCTCCTAGGAAAGAGTTAGAAGAAGCCTCTTCTTCAGGGAAAGAAACTTCTTGAAAATTTGAAGACTGATTTTGACACAATAATAATGAGGGGAAAAAAACATGCAAAGAAGCTTTCCTTCCTTCAAGAAAGTCATATATATGCAAAGTGTGTGATTACTGCATGTAAAACAAAGCAAATCTCTTTCCTTTAGTAAACAACAACAGTGTCTTCTTGCAAAATGCCCAGATGGAAATCATCATCTGAGGATAGATAAGTATGCCAGGGTGAATCTGTAAAACACTATTCCATTGTTATAGAACTAAGATAATCTAAAAACATCCATTTTACAGTTAACATTTAATTCTGAGTATGAATACTGATTAAATGGGGACTGTTTGGACTAAGAAACAAAACAAAACAATTAGGCAATATTCTTAAAGATGCAAGTAAATATTTTCTCCTTTTTTCTTCTTCACCCCATCATTGCCCAATAATTATCTACTTGCTATGAAAGGCTTTCAATTAAATTACCTGGGGCATCCCAAATTAAAACAAAGCACACTTCAGCAGTGCAGAAAATGTCAAGCACAGGAAATCAGGAGTTTAGACAGTTTGAATAACTGTAGGCTTATTGTATGCTAAAGCTCTCTACAAGAATCTTAACTACTAATGGTCAAAGCAAGTTGGCACTAGATAAGAATCAATGTAATTCAAGGTGGGCTGGACTTGTGGACACAGAGGGACTTAAGATTAATTACACACTTGATCCCTCCCTCAGGTTCAACCTGGTCATCTCATACAGAAAATCTGCCATTGGTACCGGAATATGCAGTTTTTCATAACCCTGCCTGGTATCCAGAGGTGGGATTCTACCGGTTTGCACTGGTTCTATAAAACCGGTTGTTAACGTCACCAGTAGTTCTAAGAACCAGTAAAATGGACCCCTGGCTGGCCCTGCCCCTCTCCACTGCTCCTATGCTCCAAAAACCGTTTTTTACTGTGCATGCATGACATTATCCACACATGCGTGACAATCCATCCCTCATTCTCCCCTGCCCGCCCCTCCCTTCACAACCCAGTTATTTGTTATTGCGCATGCATGACATTGCGCGCATGCACAACAATTGGGGATGGCATTGTCCCCTGCCATCAGCCCCTCTCCGCAGTTCCAGCCCCAGTCAGCCATTATTGTGCATGCATGACATCGTGCGCATGTGCAATAATAGCTGACTGCCTTTTCTCCCACCCACTCCGCCCCTCCCCTACTTATAGCGCATGTGCGCTACCTACAAAATTTTCCCACCTGGTGCCATCACTCACACCAGCAGCAGCAGCAGCAGCAGTAGCAGCAGCCAAGGCAGCCAGCCAGCCAGCCGTCGCTGCCTGCCTTCTGCTGCCCTGCTGGGTGAGTGTGGGCAAGCCGCAAGCCCCAGTCACCACCATCACTAACCGCCCTTACCCGGCCAGCCTGCCTCTCAGGCCTGCCTGCCTGCTTTGCCTGGACTGCCTCCCACAACGGCTTCCATTAAAGAAGACGCAAGCCTTGGCCGCCACCGCTAGCCGTCCTCGCCTGCCCAGACTGCCTACCCCGGCCTCCGAAGATGCAAATTGGTAAGTACGAACTTCAACCCAGTCGCCTACCTGCCAACGCCAGTCCTGGTCAAGTGCCAATTCCTGGAATGCCCACCGCCCTTGCCGACACTCCCTGCCTTGCCCGCTGCCATCTTCCCTCACCTGTGGCCCTCCATTGTTGCTGCCTTGCCTTCCCACCACTGATTGGTGAATGAGGAGGCAAAGCACCAAGCCCCACTGGTCCCTACCTCCTCCTGCCACTGCCGCCACCAGCCCCAGTCAAGTGCCAACTCCTGGGCCACCTGCCACTGCTTCGCCCACCCAGTGGCCGCCATCTTGGTTGGCCAGCCAGCGGCTGCCATCTTGGCTTGGCTGGCTGGCAGCCACCATCTTGGCTAGGCTGACCACCATCTTGGCTAGACCGGCGCCACCTTCCCTTGCCCGTCATGGCCCAAGGGTTCCTGCCTTGCCTTCCCATCAGCGATAGGTGAGTGAGAAGGCAAAGCAGCAAGCCCCACCAGTCACCTACCTTCTCCTGCCACCACTGCCACTGCCGCCAACAGCCACAGCAAGCTTGAAGACTGAGGAGGACTCCAGCGTAGCTGGCTAGCCAAATTGCCTGCCTCATTTTTGGTAAGTTGCTTTTTTTTATTCATGTATTTATTTATTTATTTAGTAACTGTTTTTGTTTTTATTAATCATAGAAACAAAACAGATACTAAATAAATAAATACATAAATGAAAATTATTTTACTATTCATCTTGATGTTTCCTTCTCCTTTGCGTTTTTGGGGCTCCGATCCGGACGGGTACGGAGCTAGGCTGCCCTGAAAATGCCTTTACAGTTGACAATCAGACTGGTATTTTCATGTAATGTTGTTTCCTTATTTTCTCCCATATTAATAATAAAGCAGCACAAATATGTCTCCTAAAATACCCATGTGTTTTACTTTCCTTATACCATAAAAAGGCGTGCCACCCCAATAATAAATCATGACCTTCTAATGTTAAAATCTAGTATTCCTTAAAACAATCCATTCTTTTACCCACATCAATGTTGCTGCCTGGTAATATAATTCCCAATTGGGTAAACCAAAACCTCCTCTTGATCTAGCATTTTGTAACAATTTTAATTTGATTATTGCCTTTCCCCCCTGCTATATATACTTCAATATTATTTTATTTAAATCTTCAAAGTATTCTTTCCCTAGTTTAATTGGAATTGTCTGAAACAAATATAAAACCTTTGGTAATATATTCATCTTAATTGTAGATATTCTCCCTTATTAGAGATAGCTGTAGATTTTCCCATTGTTTCAAATCTGTCGCAATCTGTTGAGTTTATGATAGTTATCTTCTTTGAGTATTCCGCATCTTGCTGTCAATTGTATTCCTAAGAATTTAACTTTGTTTGTGATCTGGATATTCAATCTCTCCATCAATTCCTTCTTTTGTTTTTCCACCATATTTTTAACTAAGATCGTAGTTTTATCTTTATTTATTTTCAATCCTGCTACTTGTCCATATTCTTCAATCTTCTCTGTTAGTTTAGGTGCTGTTTTTAGTGGCTTCTCTAATATGAAAACCAGATCATCAGCAAATGCTTGTAGCTTATATTCCTCTTTTTTATTTTCATTCCTTTTATTTCACTATCATCTCTGATGTTTCTATTTAATACTTCAAGGGTCAAAACAAACAAGCAAATGTGACAGTGGACATCCTTGCCTTTTCTAATATTAATATTATCTGTTAAGTCTCCATTTATGATTACTTTGGCTGATTGCTTATGATATATTGCCTTTATAGCTTCAACAAATTTTCCACCAAATCCCATTTGTTCCATTTGTTATATCATAAACTTCTAATTTACATTGTCAAAAGCTTTTTGTGCATCTAAAAATACCAAGGCCACCTGTTTCTCAGAATGTGTTTCATAATATTCTAAGGTATTCAAAATTATTCTCATATTGTCCTCGATTTGCCTCTTCGACAGAAATCCATTTTGATCAGCATGTATAAAATTGTTCAAATGTCTCTTAAGTCTTTCTGTCATTATTGAGGCAAAATTTTTATAGTCTGAGTTCAGCAGGGAGACAGGTCTATAATTTTTAATTTGTTGCAAATCAGTATCCTCTTTTGATATAAGAATAATGTACGCTTCTGTCCATGATTCATCCATCATTCATCACTTCAAGCATTGGAATACTTAAAGATTCCTGTAGAGTTTTATAAAATTCCGCTGGCAGCCCATCTGGCCCTTCCAGTATTTTGTCTCTTTAACACCTCAGTTAGTTCCATCATTGTTATTTTTCCTTCTAACATTATTTCAATCTACTCAGATATCTGAGATAATTTCTCTCTTTGCAAATATTGTTTCACTTTTTCTTCATCAATATTCTCTTGGTTTTATAGTTTTTCACAGTATTTTTGTATTATCTTTTTCTTTTCATCATTCCCATTACATGCCCTTCCTTGATCATCTATTAATTGCATTATCTTTTTCATTTCTCTTTCTTTTTTCAACTTATATGCCAACCACCTGCCTGGCTTATTTACATTTTCAGAGAAGTTCTGTTTAACACTTCTAATTTTTTGGGCTAGCTCTTCTTTTTCCATCAACCCCATTTTATGTTTAATTATGTCCATTTGATTTTTGATATCCTTTTTTGGGGTAATTTTGTAAGTCCTTCTCAAGTTTCTTGTAATCCTCCTCTAACCTCTGTTGTATTTGTCTTTTCTTAATGTTTTTTTTTCTCATGTAATCTATTATCAGTCCTCTGGCATAAGCCTTCATGGTATCCCATAGATTTTACAGTGAGGTGTCCTCTTTGTCATTCTCTTTAAAGAAGAAAGCCAATTCCTTTTCCATCTTTTGTGTAAATTCTTTTTCTTTCAGTATTGTATTATTCAGAGTCCATCTAGATCTTTTCCTTTGTCGTTGCCACTCAATTTGTATTGGATTGTGGTCTGCCCAATTACTTGTTTTGATACTTACATCTTTTATATTAGAAATCAGATCCATTGACATCCAGATCATATCTATTCTTGACCATGATAAATGTCTATTGGAATAAAAGATGTATTGTCTATTCCTTGTATTTCTTTCTCTCCAAACATTTTAATACTTAATTCCTCTACCATTTTGAAGAAGGATTTTGGTAGTATCTTTCTATTTTGTCTATTAGCTTTCTGTGTTGTATAGTCCAAGTTTGTATCTACTATTCCATTAAAGTCCCCCATCAGACATATATTATTGTATTCCAATTCAATAATTTTGTTGTGTAGTTTTTTATAGAATTCTTCTTGTTTTTCATTAGGAGCATATTATCAATTATTTCCACCATTAATATTCTTCCTTCTTCATCTGTAAAGATTAGTTCAGCTTTGATTGTATTTTTAATATATAATGCAACTCCCCTTTTTTTCTTTTGAGCCAATGAAGTATATAGATTCCCAATTTTGGTATTTTTAAACATCTGAACATATTGTTTTTTATATGAACTTCTTGCAGGCAAATTATGTCCAGTTTTAATTTTTCTAATTTATGGAATATTTTCCTTCTTTTTATAGCTGAATTCAATCCATTTATATTCATTGTAATCAGTTTCTTTTCTTCCATTGTTTATATCTTATATGTAGGTTTTATAGCTCTGGTAGACCTTTGCTCCCTTACTTCTTTATACTCCATTCTTCCTCCTACTGCTCCTTCCTCACATGTTGCTTCTTCTTGAATTGTTTTATCTCTTACTTCAGTCATTTCCTCTTGGGTTATGACTGTTTCCTCTTCTCACAATTTCTCATCCTCTTTCCCTCTAAAGTATTCAAAGTCCCAACTGAAAGTCCCAACTTTCAGCAGCTTTAATGGCTGCTTCCGCCACAGACAGTTTGAAGAGCTTCTCCTGGATCAACCAGGGACTTTGCGATGTCCCTGGGATCAACAGGATGTGCTCTCCTCATTCACCATCTCTTTGGGATGGTTTAGGTCCAGTTGGACCATCCAGCTGTGGGGATATCAGCATCAGTCTCGGATCCCCAAGATCCTCCATCTGTCTCGTCATGACATCAGCCCCTCCCACCAGTAAGCAAATGTTTTTGTTAGCCTGGAGCCAGTCATCCTTCAGTAGTGCTTCCTTAAATTTGGAAGTTGTTGCATTGTCAGTTAGTGGTTCTTTCTTCCCTTGTGCTCGGGTGATTTGGCTGCAAGTTGGGTTGTTTGGATCATGGATTTTACAATTCCAATCTTTTTGCTGTTGTATTGGGGTTTCCTGGAGAGGGCATCTGCCAAGAATCCCCCCCCCCCGGGGAGATATTTGAGAGTGAAATTAAAATGTTTAAAATATTGCACCCAACATACTTGTTTTGGGGAGAGTTTCCATGGAGTTTTCAGGGCTTCTAGATTTTTATGACCAGTCCAGACTTTGAAAGGGATTTTGTTCTCTTCTAGGAAGAGAACATGTAAGGAGTGCCCATCACACAGCATATGCCTCTTTCTCCCATATGGTCCCCATCTTTGCTTGGTTTCTGTCAGTTTCTTGGAAGTATAAGCACATGGGTTGCAACTGTCCACGTTCCATCTTTTGGAGTAGGATTGCTCCTACTGCTATATCACTATTGTCCACTTGGATGACAAATGGTTGCTCTGGGTCTGGGTGTTTCAGGATTGGTTCTGCTGAGAATAGTTGTTTGAGTTTTTTGAATGCCACCTGGCATTACATCATCCAGTTAAGGGATTGCCTTGGCTTTGGGTCCCCCCGCTTTCATTTTTAACAATCTCATGATGGAGAGGGCAATATTCACAAAAGCCGGAATGAACTGATAGTAAAACTGACGGTAAAAGTTTGCAAAACCCAAGAAGGTTTGCAGTTGTTTGTGAGTTTGGGGTGGCTCACAATTGATGACAGCTTTTATTTTTTGTGGGTCCATCTCTATTCCCTCATAGGATATTCTGTATCCCAGGTAGTCAATTTAGAGAGTTTTGCATATAGTTTGGCATTTTGGAGTTTCGTGAGAACTGCTCGAAGTAACTTTATGTGTTCTTCTTTAGTTTCAGTGTAGATTAAAATGTCACTCAAATAAACTATAGAACCCCTTTGTACAAAAAATCATTGAGGACCTTATTAATTTGTTGCATAAATACGACAGGGGCTCCTTGTAGTCTGAAAGGGAGTACTTCAAACTGGTAGCATCCCAGTGGGGTGTTAAAAGCAGTCTTCCACTCATTCCCTTCCCTTATTCTGATGCGGTAGTATGCCTCTCTTGGATCTAACTTTGAAAAATAAATCCCTTTACAGAGGTGAGCTAGCATGTCCTTCAAGAGAGAGAGTGAGTACATATTTTCCATGCTGATGGTTATTTAAATTATGGAAATCAATGCAGAGACTTAGGATGCCATCTTTCTTTTTGTGAAATAATACTGGGGCTGCTATTTTCAGTCAAGTAGGTTTGATGAAACCCCAATTTAGATTTTTGTCGATAAATGTTCTGAGTTCATTTAGTTCTCTGGGGGACATACAGTACATTTTTGGTTTTGGAAGTTTAGCCCCTGGCAGGATATCAATGGCACAATCCATAGTACAATGAGGCAGGAGTTCATCAGAAGCCTCCTCACTAAATACTTCAGCCAAATCCTGGTATTCTTTGGGGATATTAATGGGTTTAGCAGGCTGGCCAGCAATGGCTGGTTCTCTGTTCTCTTTTCTTTCCTTCCCCATCTCTGGGATGTTTGCCAATGTTACATGTTTCTGGAAATGTACAGTTCCTCTCTTCCAGTTTATTTTTTGATTCCATTTCCATAACTATGTTAGTCCTAGGACTAGTGGCCCTTCCATTCCCAGGGCTACAATGAACATGAGTGTCTCGCTATGGTTTCCCAGTTCTATTTGTAATGGTTCTGTGGCAAAACTGGCTGGCTCTCCCCCATCACCACCACAGTCCCATGTAATTGGCAGAAACTAATGCAATTTTCCATTTTCCTTAGGTGGGTTCCCAATTTCTCTACTAGGCTGGGGTTGATTAGGCACTGGGTGCATCCTGAATCCAGTAATCTGTTACCTCCACCCACTTCCCTCAGCTGGGGATAAATAGTCTTAGGGGTAAAGTGAGTGATTCAATTCGATGGCTTACCAGTGGGTCATCTTCTGGATCGCTTTTGGACTGGCTAAGGTCTCCTTGGGGCATTGAAGATTCTTCCTCTAGGTATGGTGGGGGGACTGAAATTTCACAGCTTCTCGGCTTCACGGGGCAGTTTCTTTTCCTCAAGGTTTTGATTTTCCAGCTTTTCCCCCCTGTCTGACTTTCTGGCAGGGGTTTTTGAATGGCACTCCACTGTGCGGTACCCCTTCTTTCCACACTTAAAACAGCCAGATAGTCCCAGAGTCATGGTGATTTGGGGTTTGAAAAACTCCTGCTTCCCCTGGGGTGGGGATCTTCTCCAAACCTTGCCGCTGCGGTACTGGTGACAGGCCATGTCGATCTCCATCTCTTCTACCATCAGGTACCATTCATGCAGAAGGTTAGAGGGCCCACAGGCCAGGCAGGCAGTGTACAGGTCGTTGTTGAGTCCATCTTTGAACCAGTAAACTAGAATATCTTCCAGGCAGGTGGCTCGGCCAGCCAGGTTGTGAAATTCCTCGGTGTATTCGGCTACAGGGTGATGGCCTTGTTTTACAACCCTAATGTGGTCACGGGCTTTTCGATTGGTGAGAGGGTCTTTGAAGTGGTGGTGTAGGGCTGTCATGAATCAATCAAGGTTCCTTAGCTCTGGGGCATCAACATTGTGAAGGGTTACCATCCATTTGGTGCCTGCCCCTTCTAGGTTGATGGTTCACACTCAGGCCCCCGGGTCAGAAAATTCTGCCCGTGTTCTTGTATATAGGTGAGGACTTGTGCCAGGGAAAACCCCAATTTCTGGGGGTCCCCATTAAATTTTGCCCCAAGAGTGGGATCTTTCTCTGCAGTTGTAGGTCCGTGGGTTGGCTGGGGTTAATTTCCTGCTCTGAGATGGCAAGGGGTAGGATACCTGGCATGGCTGCTGGTCCTCTGGCTTGGTCCATTGCTCGATCAGTCTCAGCTGGATCAAGGGTAATGGCTCGGGTTCTCTTGATTTCTGGTTTGCTCACTCTCCTTCAATGGTGACCTGGTTCATTCTGCACATTGAGAGCTTCCCTCATGAGGTGATTTATGTACTGTTTCAGTCAGTTATCTGCCAGCGGTTCCTCGATCTGTTCTTCCTGATCGGAAAAGGCTTCCAGTTCCATTTTCCACCCAGCTTTATGGTTACCATGAGTGAGGGTTACTCCCTTGACTTTTCCATCCCAGCTGTCTCTCTTTCCTACATCTATAGACCATCAGGGCTTCATGGAATTTTCACAGGCAGCTTCGATGTCTTCAATGGGGCACACAAAGCCAGTGTCTGGCTGGGTAGTTGTTGAAGTTTCTGCCCAGCATTCAGCTTCCCATTTCTCATTGCTATGTTCAGACATTTTTGTAGGGTCCCCTCAGTAGAGTGAAATCTTGGAAGGAGAAAAAAATTCCTCTCCAGGTTGACCACTATTGCAGATCCTGCTTTATGTAAGGACCAGACTCTCTCCCCTTCAGATGATAAGAATGAACTTCTGAAAACTGGGTATTTCAAAATGAATTCTTTATTGAAAAGGAAGACAGCAAGTCAAATTCAAAGCAGGGTCTCCAGGCATGTAGGTTAGATAAAGGGAGTTAGAATCCCTCCCATTAGTCCAGTGTGGATTTTGTCAATACAAAGAAACAACATGTTAATTCCCACTCCCTTTTCTGGGAACGTAGTTGAGAAGAAATTCTCAGTTTCTTTTGGAACTGGAATATTTATGGCCCCTTCTCCTCTTGCTATCTCTCCAAAAGGTGACAAGTTTCCAGGCATCCGGGCTCCAGTCCCCAGTTGTAAATCATGTACAGGTTATACAAATTCAGAACAAGAATTAGGATATTCATGTTACATCAAAAAGGATTACTTGTATCAAACCTCCCTCCCCCTCTTCCATTGAAGAATGGCAGATACACGGATCTGATAAATACAGTAGTTCCAAATAAAACCAAGTTTCCTGTCCTGTTAGAATAAGAAGAAAATAGTGTCTGGCTTAATACATCCTACTATCTTGTACTATAATCTTCTCCTTCTCTATCCCTCTAGTACTATTAGTATGACTATTACTAATGGAGCAAATACATAGGCATTGTTACTACCATTTTACATTGCTAAAAATTACAGGTTTGCAAATTACAAATTTGATTTGGCTTGAAGAGTCAAGCAGGTTCAATTCAAATATACAATTTGAAATGTCAAATTGATTACAATATTTTATTTGATAAAAAGTATGCATGTGCATGCAGAAATGTCCATTTAAACCCTGAATCCATCTGAAAGCATTTGATTCAATGTTATGTTCCAAACTGAGTCTGCTATTTGTTTTAAAGATTGAATTGCATCTAATTCAATCACTTTTGAATCTTTATATTTTTTGAACATAATTTTTATTAAAACCTTTAATCAAGAAGATAAAAATGAATAAACACCAATGGAAGGCAAAAGAGAAAGGAAATAAAAAAGAAGACAAAAAAGAAAGGAAATAAAGAAAAATGCTTTCAGTATTCTTCATAGCAGTTAAAAGTACAAATATATTTTAACCACTTTCTCTAAAGTTATATCATATTACTGTTCATTCTATAATCCACCCTGACTAATAATCAAAACCATAAATCATAAATTCATTTTTTTTCATTTTTATGCAAAAAGGCCATAAGAGTTTCCAGTCACCAATAAACATAGATAGTGTATTTTCTCTAATCAAAGAAGTCAGTTATTCAGCAAAATTTGTAAACATCAACCATTCCTTCATAGTGGATAATGCAAATCTTTCCAACTGTGCATATAGAAATCTTTCTGCAGTAATAATATGGAGGAATAATCTTTTATGACATTTTTCCAACTGTTTATCCATTAATTCTAAAAGGAACAGTTCTGGATTCAATTAAATATCCATGTTTAAAATCTTTCTTACCAAAACATGTATTTGAATCCATTTTTAAAGCTTTTTTACATGTCTGTTGAACATGATGAGAATTTCATGTTGTTCACATATCCAACATACATTTGAATTGTTTATACATTCTATATTATTTTTCAGATATCATGTATTAATGATGCAACATTTTATAAAAATTCTATAACATAATATAAATTTCAAACCTTTATTGTTATGTCTCACCTGTACCAACAAGGTGAGAAGTCCAAATTTCCAACTGAATACACACAAGCCAGCAAGTCCAGTAATTACAGGGTTAAATTTCTTGAGCCGATAAAGTTCTTGGCAGTCTCACACAAACTGTCTGCCAAGTCCGACAAGAAAGCAGGAATATAAATCACAAGCTGTCACCGCACACAGGAATTCCGAAACTTCTCTCACTAAGTAACACGTTGTCCCAAACAAGTTCCCAGAGTGAACACACCCACTTTTATTCCCTGTGGAGCGTGTCAGTCCCTCATCTCAGTCTCTGATTTGTCCTTTCTTTCTGTGTTGCAGCTCACACTTTTGCCTGCGCCGTTGCCTCGCATCAAGCCAGCATTCACTACTAACATGGGCAACATCATGCCCACATGCTTTTATCTTTCTTGGTGACTTCAATCTCCCTCATATTAACTGGACCCTAAACGAATGTACAACTGAACCCATACATGCAACCTTCTACAATGCTGTAACAAATCTGGGACTGGAACAACTAGTAACCAACAATACTAGACTTAACAACTGCCTCAATCTCATCTTCTGCAATAGTTTGAATTCAATTTACGGAATACAAATTAAAGAACCCTTTTCCAACAGTGACCACAACATGATTGACTTTTGTCTCAACATACGTCCACACAAAAATCATCATAATGATGGGATCCCTAATTATAACTTCAAAAAAGGCAATATGATCTTATAGACAATGATCTCTCATCTCTTGATTGGCAATTTCTATTCACTGGATGCAATACTGTTGAAGACCATTACAACATATTTTTACTTGAAGTCAAAAGAGTCATCAAACTATATGTACCAATAGCAACTCCCAAAACCAGAAAAAAACAAATTACCCATAACAATAAGGAAGCTTCAATCCAAAAAGAAATCACTTTGGCAAAAAAACAAATCTGGTCACATTGCCAACTTCAAAAGCTGTTACAAAAAATTATGCCATCAGCTAAAGACTGAATGCACCAATTATCATATTAAACAAGAGGAAAACATTCTATGCACCAATTCCACCCATGCTTTCTACAATTTTGTAAACAACAAACTAAAAGACTCAAGGTCCATCCCACCCCTAAAAGAACCAAATGGTAAAGACTGCAATGATGACACCATTAAATCCAACCTCTTTAACACATTCTTTGGCTCAATATTTGTAAACAGCAATGGATAATGCCCAGTATTTCCTAGCTGAACCACAGACAACTACAATGATCTAATACATATCGATTTTACAGAAGACAATGTTGAAAAAGCGCTACGCAATCTAAAACCATCTCTATCCATTGGAACGGATGGAATATGTGCCTACTTCTTTAAAAAGCTATCCACTGCCATAGCCGAACCTCTAAGCAAAATCTTTGAAAAATCTTTCAGGACCAGCTCTTTTCCAAACCTATGGTCACTAGCCACGGTCATCCCCATCTTCAAAAAGGGAGACCACAGCCTAGTTGAAAATTACAGACCAATCTCTTTATGCTGCGTCACCTGTAAAATCATGGAATCAATTATTAACCAATCCATTATCCTCTACTCTCTAATAAACAATTTAGTTTCAGGAAAAAAAAATATTGCAAAAACATGTGGACTACACAACTCGATCAGGGAAAAGCAATAGATGCAATTTACATAGGCTTCTGTAAAGCCTTTGATTCAGTGATACATGACAAACTACTCCTAAAACTAAAATCTTATGGTATCTCTGGACACCTGCATAACTGGATAGAAGCATTCTTGTCAAACAGACAACAAATGGTCAGAATTGGGAGTGTCCTATCAAGTTCTGTACCTGTCAACAGTGGTGTCCCCCAAGACAGTGTTCTAGGACCAACTGTCTTCATACTCTACATAAATGACCTCTGTGATCATATTGATGATGATGTAAAGCTATTCAACACCACTGACAATACTGCTACCCTTCAAAAAGACTTTGACTATGTGTCAGAATGATCAAACAAATAGCAGCTTCAAATCTCAACAAAGAAATGCTCTGTCTTACACATTGGCAAAAAAAATATGAGAAAATAAAATACAAGCTGAATAGTCAAGACCTTGTTAATGATCCAAACTCTGTCAAGGACCTTGAAGTACTCATCTCTAATTATCTAAATGCTAGAGCCCACTGTAACTACATAGCCAAAAAGTTAACCTAATCCTACATAGCTTTTTCTCTGGTAATATCACACTATTAGCTAGAGCATACAAAACATTTACTAGACCAATACTCAAATACAGCTCATCAGTCTGGAACCCACATTACGTATCTGATATTAAT